TTATAACTAAGAATTTGTGTTAGAGGGCAGCCCTGGTGGCGCAGCGGTTTAGCGCCGCCTGCAGCCCAGGGCGTGATCCTGGAGACCCGGGATCGAGTCCCGCGTCGGGCTCTCTGCATGGAGCCTGCTTCTCCCTCTGCCTGTGTCTCTGCCTCTCTCTCTCTCTCTCTGCATCTCTATGAATAAATAAATAAAAAATCCTAAAAAAAAGAATTTGTGTTAGAATTATCCTATATACGGCCTTGGAGCTCTCATTTAACTTAAGTGGGACCAAAACATGATTCAGCTGTTTATAACATAAAAGGCTTTAGGGAAAGTAGTATCTCCTATATCCATAATTCTAGATTAAGGTCAAATTGGAAAAAGTACAGAAGCTTTGGCTCATTTTCCAGAAGTATTCAGCTCCTTTTGGTAGGCACTTAGAAATTTTTCACTGATTGTATACTTTATAATTAGGGTATTTTCAGCAAAGCTATTCTTATAATTATTAAACACTTGGTTAAGGGGCACCTGGGTGGCTGAGTGGTTGAGCATCTGCCTTTGGCATAGGTCATGACCCAGGGTCCTGGGATCGAGTCCCACATCAGGCTCCCTGCATGGAGTCTGCTTCTCCCTCTGCCTGTGTCTCTGCCTCCCTCTCTGTGTCTCTCATGAATAAATAAATAAGATTTAAAAAAAAAAAAAAAGCACTTGGTTAAATAATCTGATTCAAATATGAGGAAGTCTGCTTTTCATTGGAACAAGTGTTGACCTGTAGAGATACTCTTTTATGTTTAGGTTAAACATATATTTTTTGCAAACTACAATTGTGTGAGATAAGACTTATTTTACTACATTGAGATTTACTTAAGATAGTACATTTTCAGTCTGTTGCCGGAATAATTGATGTTGCATATAAATCTTATGTTTTTAAGATAATTTAGGTACTTGTATATGTAATTTCAAATTAGTATGATTAGACATGACTGGAACTTGAATTCTTTTTTTCTGCTAGATCGAAGTACTATTAGTTATATTCTGAAGATAAATGCATGTGATTTTGCAGATTGATTATATTCTTTGAGCTCTTAGTTGCCAGGGCCTGACAGATATTCAATCAGGAAGACTGATACATGGTAGAGTTGTTGTAATAATAAATACACATAAGATGAATACATTAGTGCCTGCATAGTGCTGGATCAATAGAAATATACAATCTTAGGGAGCTCATCCCCCTAATGACAAAATCCCATCAACATTACTAATGCCTAAGGTTATCAAATGTTTAGGGCTAAATAAACTCCAGTTAGAAGGAGAAATAAAGGAGCAATGTAAGGAGAATCCTCGTGCTGTAATCCCTGGGAGAGGTTGTGATCATTGAATACAGAGGATCTAGGACATCTAGTCTGGGATGTGTAATTAGTCCAGAATGGGATAACTATTAATATTAACATTACAAGGAGTATTGATAGTCTAAGATCTTGATGTCTAATTTCAGTTCAACTCAGCAAATACTTGTTGAACGTCTACCACGTGCTAGTCATTATACTGGAGCTCATAGTCTAGTGGAGGAAACAGTTGTATAAATACTTAATTAGGACATGCAAGCGCTTGCTTTATTTATTTATTTACATATTTATTTATTGTCCAGGGATATACAGAAACCTAAAATAGGAAAAATTGAGACCATTTATCCCTAGAGGAATGGGAAAACCTGAGTCTTCAGGAGGACTATTAGCTCAGAGAGGAGGAAAAGACACTTTGGGGAACACTTGTTTGTTATTTCTAGTTTAGGAGATTTTGAAATTAATCAGCAGGATTATGAACAAAAAGAAAATATAAATTTAAATGACAGAAAACAGAGTAAGTTGTTCCTATTTATTATTACTGATGACTCTTTTTGCTTCCTTTTTAAAAAGGCTATTTATACTCTGTTAAATCTCTTAGATTAAAGGAACTTTCCCTTAAAATAAATAAAATTAGGAAGTTAGTGTATCATGGCAGAGATTCCATCTGGCCTTTCATGAACTTGAGACAAGTAGCAGACCTCAAGAGTCTCATTTGGGGAGGATAATGACCTCTGTGGAGATTAGGAAGGTCTAACAACATAACATGCATTTGCTATAAATAAAAACTTTTTAAAAGATAAATACATCCTTTGCTTTTTTTTTTTTTAAGATTTTATTTATTTATTCATGAGAGACACCGAGAGAGAGAGGCAGAGACATAGGCAGAGGGAGAAGCAGGCTCCATGCAGGGAGCCTGGTGTGGGACTCAATCCCAGGACTCCGGGATCACGCCCTGAGCCAAAGTTCAGACACTCAACCGCTGAGCCACCCAGGTGTCCCCATCCTTTTCTCTCAAAATAATAAGTGCTGGTTTATAGTTGGAGATACATATTAATTTAGTCCAAATTATATAATGATAATGCTTTAGTTGAGAGATTTTTTTTGTGGTTGTTGTTTATGGCATTAACTTTCTAATGAAGTTAACTTATTTAGAAAGAAGGTTGTTTATTTAGATTTTCTGCTGTTTCTCCCAAAAATGTTCATGAGGATTAGCCACCCATAAAATAGAGACTGCTTCTCATCTACTGTGAACCTTCCGATGTTTTGAGATCATAGGATCACTGATTTGTGAGGTGCAGTAAAACTATGTCATATGAAAAGAACCAGACCAAGGGCCAAAGATAACAGTGCTATGTAGACTCTGTGGCCAGTGAAGATTTTGTTTTACAAGATTGTGCCCGTGTTTGGTCAGTAGAGCTAAGGCAGAAGGTGAATGAAAGAACATTACTTTAAAGGCATTAAAGAACATGATGAAGAAAAACATTTTTAGTACAAAGCCTTCCAAATGGGGTAGAAGTATAGAATCGACATAGAGCTGCCAAACATAGTTTGTGTTTTCCATCTGTGGCTGCCAGTACATGGACAGAGTGATTGCTGTCCTCATACTCACCACCGTAAAAGTATGGCCAATACTAGAAATCTCGGATTCCTCTTTCTTTCCTTCCTTCCATACTCATCACCTCCCACCCTTCCCTTTTGCCTCTTTTCCTCTTGAGAGTCCATATGAACCTTGGTTTTAGAGAAGGCTCATTCCCATCTCTTATAATCAACAACCTACAACTCAAACATAAAACTTGTTTCAGTCTTATGTATTTCATTTGTAAGGCTAGAGGAAGAGCATATTTCAGAGCAAACAGATGGAACCAGTCAAAACGTCTTTAGCTTAGTCATTTCACCTTGTGAGACTACACATTCCTCGCTAGTGAAATAGGCTATTGAACTGCACACTTCTCAGCTGCCTTCCAGCTCTAAAACTTCACGGTTCTAACTTTCTAATTTCCTAGCTACCTTGCGATCTTTCAGGGGGTAACAGCTGTGTGTGTGTGCTTACTACCAAATACCAGTAACCAGTCATCATCAGTGTCAATATTATAGAAACTTGAACCAGAGAAATGGTACCATAAATCAAGAAAAATGATATTTGAGTGAAGTCTCTAAAACAAATGCTTACATCAAATGTATGATTAGATGCTCTTGGCTCTTACATTGGGCTTATTATCCCACTCATTTGGGAAAGACTTGATGAAAGGAATGGGGTTTGAAAGAATTTTAAAATTTTGGTTTATCCTTCAGCACGCAGAAGAGATTTGTGTAATTCACACTACCCCAAATCCATAGTTTTCCTAGTGAAAAAAAGAATTTAAATGCCTTCTTTGCTGCATTCCAACTAAGAAATATATATCCCTATGCTTTTGAGTGAAATTACTGCTAAAGGGGGAGAGAGAGAGAGAGAGAGAGAGAGAGAGAGAGAGAGAGAAGAGCATTACCCGATCAGATACCCTTCTCTTGCCTGTCTAAATTTTACATGTGGTTATGTATTATCTATTTCCTAACTGTATGGAAATATGCCTTTATATTTTAAAGTTGCACAAATATTAGTCTGAGTCCTTGGTAAAAAATTGCAAGCTACCATTCATGATTTGGAGTTGAAAGATATTTGGGGTAGAATATGGAACAAATGATAAATGTCTTAAAAGAACAGATTATATAGAAATATTTGTTAGGAACATAAACTAAATGAGGTAAATCCCCAAAGAACATCCAGAATGAACTAACACTCCATGCTAATAACAATGCAAGAGTTTGGGATGCCTGGGTGGCTTAGCAGTTCAGCAACTGCCTTCGGCTCAGGGCATGATCCTAGGGTCCTGGGATCAAGTCCCACATCGGGCTCCCTGCATGGAGCCTGCTTCTCCCTCTGCCTGTGTCTCTGCCACTCTCCTTCTGTCTCTCATTAATAAATAAATTTAAATCTTAAAAAAGAAAAAAAAGAATCCCAGAGTTCCTTTTTTTTTTTTTAAGATTTTATTTATTTATTCATAGAGACACAAAGAGAGAGACTCGATCCAGGGTCTCCAGGATCACACCCTGGGCTACGGGCGGCGCTAAACTGCTGTGCCACTGGGGCTGCCCAGAATCTAAGAGTTCTAAATGAATGTGTATCTAAGGACATTTTGAGACTGCCTCTGGTGACCTCTTAATTAGCCTCTTAACATTTTATCAACTTTAGATTTTTCTGCTGAAGAAATCAAAAAAGAAGAAAATACCATTATCAGATACCATCAGCTTGCTCTGTCACCTATGTGTACCTAACAATATTCAGACATGAAATCTAATATGAGATTTTGCTTTTCCTCAATCTTCCATGCAAAATTAAAAGGAAAAGGGAAGGTTGATGCTGTGATAGATACATAAAGGCAATATTACCTTGCCTGTTGCCCCAAACAATGGTTTTGTTTCTGAGTGAGAGTTTTCCAAAGCATGAGATAGACCAGGACAGTGTGATTTTCGGGAAAACTTCACAACTGTGCTGTTGAAAAGTCCTGCATTAAATACGAAGAGGATTGCCAAAAGGATGAGACCTTATGTCACACATTCTAGACATCATTAGAATATTTTGGAGTACATTTCAATATGTTCTTCCTATTCTTTCCTCCACTTTGGGTTTCTTACCTCCAGGAGGGATGTAGAAGCAGTTGAGTTGAGCTTCATGCACCAAAGTGCCCTTAAACTTCACCTCTGCTTCAGCAGCAGAGTGGCTGGAAAGCGGCTGGTATGCAGGCACAGAGGGCTGGCCAAAGGCTCGAAGCATGGTCAACTTCCAGATGTGTGCTCACGGGTCAGATTTTTTAAGGAAATAAATCTCTTCCCCCGGAGCTTCTCCCCTTGTAACTTCCTAAAGCCCAGAGATTCTTCCCACAGTAGCGTTTTAAGCGTTCCACGGGCTTAAACCGCATGTCACCTCGCTGCAACTTTAGGTCACAGTGATTACTTTTTCAGATTTAGAATTTGAAAAACCACACCTTCTTTTTGGGTTCTTTTCAACGAGTTTTTCCTTCCTCATCTGCCATACTCACTGCCTACCTAAAGATGGGCCTCTCCCCCAGTGGCTCTACAGGAAAACTGGAATTGAGACGTGCGGTAAATGGCTTCTGTCAGCATGTCAGCTCATCACCTCCCTGAGGCGTGATGATCTCTGGTTTTCATATATCACCACGGGCTGCTTTGATATACCCTCTTGTGCAGGAGAGCGATAGGCTTGTCCAGGGGTTGGGAGGCCTTGGGCCTCAGAGGCAGAAAACTTCTGTTGGAATGTGCACGCTCATGGGCCTGCTGCCCCCTTCCCACTGGAATGCAACCCAAGTCGCAAAACTATTTTAAGGAGAAAAAACTTAGGCCCAGTTTGACATTTTATCTTGGTGCCAGGACTGTTGGTAAATCTGTTTTTTTTCTACACTGACTGGTTACATTTTATGTTCAAACTGAATATTAAGTGGGATGAAAGTGCTATTTCAGAATGAGCCCGTTTTAATCTTGAAGTCATGTTGTTTTAGAGATAAATGGTCAGGCCCTAAAGAAATCTCCAGTGTTTTAAATAGTATTACAAACATGGTTTTCACGTTGGAAAGATGTTTTCATAGCATTTTTCCTGCCTAAATCTGTATTTCAGTTATCTCATGATAATGACGTTGTCAAACTGCTTTTCTGTTTGTATCAACAGTTTCCTTGGCATTCCACTCTTAGGAAAACCTAATTCCTTATGTCAAATGCTACAAATATGTAACATCAAACACAGAAACAAAATGATACTCAGGACATTTCTACTAATATATCCTACAGATGCACAAATGGCTGGCTTCCCTGCTGCCACGGGACCTGAGGTTTCTTAGTCATGCTGTCTTTTCCCCCTGTTACCACCTTTCTTTTTTGATGCTTTTGGAAAACCCAGCCTCCCAGGAAAGGAAGTTATCACTATAATCAAAAAGTAGGGTAGGCAGCTAGTTTTATAACTAAGATTAAAACCATCATAACACAAACGTATTCAGATTTATTGTCTTTGAGTTTCGGTGATCCAATGTACTTTTCTTATAGGGACACAAGGCTAGGTGGGTTAGTGTGTAGCAATATGTGTAGGCAACCAAAGTAGGCATTAGTGTCTATGGTCTGCAAACAACCTTGCATGAAAAGTTTTAAGATACACATTTAATGATTTTGAGATGAAAGAACTTCTTTTTGATATTAAGGCTGTCTTAGCACATAGGCTTCAGAAATCAGATGTTCTTTTTTCAAAAGATTATCAATGTGTTAAAGAGGGATATTTGTATGTATTTCTAAGAGAATAAAATGGTCTTGTTCAAGAAAATGCTAGACGGTTCTTTCCATTTTTTTCCCCTCTTCACATGTTGATTGGTAAGATAAAGATTCCTGGCACACTAATCATAAAAAGTTTAAAACCCGATGGCCACCTTTTGGCAAGTCAGTAATTCAAATTTATAGGGTTCCTTTTAAAAATATCTCCTTAAAATAGTACTAAGAAGACATTTCTTGAAGCTTTTGTTATCTGAGTCATTACTGACAAGAAGCAGAAATCCCACACTGAGCCATTGGTCAGGTTGGGGAGGGGGGAGCTGTCAAAGCATCACAGCTGTTTTAATGACCAAATAATATTCACATAATTAAATATTTTGAATGTTTAAATTTTTAAACGTTTTTCCTTTAAATAACATATTTTGTTGGTTTTCTTTGCCCTATCACAATATTTCTGCTGTTTTCAAGAAGCTTTTGAAAATATATCTGTAGTTAATGCATTATTTATATGATTAATACCACCAGATCCTCAATTGGATCTTTATAAGTATTTTGAACTATTTAGCCTTTGCTATAAAAATGATGTAGATAGGCACATACTAAGGTATACAGTTTATTTGAAAATTGTTAAGTGAATCCATAGCAGCTACATTTTACCACATTTTTCTTTCATTACTAAGTGATTAAGTCATGGTCATATCTCATCTTTCAACAGTTGTAAATTTTCCATATGGGCATTTTGAAGTCAGAGACTTGTTGAATTTTATCTATACTCTGTCCTAACTTGTGGCTAATAAAGCTAGTTTTTTGGTGAACATATTCGTGGAAGGAAGAGGGCGGGGAGAGGTTTCTAGGCCTAATTTTGTGAATCAAGTTTCTGGATACTTCACAGTAAAGATGAAGTATGTGTAAAAATGTGCAAATGAAGTCTGGACACAGTGACATTTCAAAGCCAGGAGTTTAGAAATTCTGATTTCTAATACAGATTGAAATCTGTATTCACTCCTTTAAGCATTTGCCAAATGCCTGTTACGTTCAGGTGCTATGTTGTTAGAGACAGTGCACTTAATTGTGGACCGTGTGTATCTGCATATGCGTAAGACCACTCAGAGTTCTCTGTGAGCTTAGCCAATTCCAACACTAGGTTTTCAAGCTTAAACTTTAAGTGATTGGTTTCATTTATCCCTAAGTATGTATTTTCTTCAAGTTGGCAAGGAATTTCTTTCCATTTTGTAGTTTTGAAGGTGCTCATAATTTGTTTGATGTGCTTTTTGCAGTGTCCATTTATGGGATTTGGTTTTATGATAAGGAAGAATGCCAAAGAATTGCAGAGCTTATGAAAAAGTAGGTGCTGAAAGGCTAAGTATTTTTCTGGACATGATGCTTTTGTTTGTGTTTCTCAGTGTAACTCCACTATACTCTTAGCAGAATACATCTCTCACAGCAGTCCTTCCCACCATGGCTAGGAAAACATTTGCCATTACTTAAATGAAAAATAAACATAAGTCACAACTTTTTACATTTTCACTAGGTAAGATTTATCATGGAGAATGGTTCATCTCATTATTGTTCTGCATGTGTGAAATATCTATAATATGAATTATTCCAGATGGCAGTTTTCTTCAATGTTTTCCTCATTTGTAAATCAGCAGGGTTCTTTTTCCTCTGAAAAGTTATCAGTATGGCTGTCAGTAAAAAGAACATTTGGAACATTTTAAAGGCTGCTACACCTTCTCTAAGACCTTGCATTTCCTTCCCGCCCTCAACGATTTCCTTTAACTGCAAATCCATGGTTGTGGAAGCTCAGTTTCCCCCCATCTCAAATGCTCTGAGTACTTAGGATAGACTCTATTTTTAATCTGATTGGAAATATCTGTGTTAGTATCAGTTTAATGATCAGTAAGCAGTCCCTTTTTTTATTGCTAGTCTCTTTTTAATCTCCTGATACCTTGTGGTTTGTCTCAACTGCGTTTGGGGAAACTAAATCAGGGTCTTCCTGTCCTACTGTTGGCTCCCCTGACTGTACTGAAAGGGAGGCCCAGGTAAGTGTGCTGTCTCCTTTGTGACTGGGCAATTCTTTGATCAGTCCTTGAGCCCTGAGGCTGCTCCCTAGGAGGCAGTTATCTCCCTGCTTTATGGGGATGGTTTAGAGCCTCAGAATGAATTAAGTTTCCTACATATTCCGCATCTCAGCCGGTGACTGGCCTCCTCCTAACGCACAGTATTGGCTGCTGCCCATGCACATTTGACAAAACATCTCCATCTGTAGAAGAACCATTTTCCAATTTTAAATCCTGGGGCAATGAAATGACTAAAAAGTGACCCCCCAAAATGAAGTGTGGGGAACACTTTTTTATAAATAGATTTATGAAAATCTAGCTCGCGATAACTATTTGTAGGTAACCAGCTCATGTTGCAGATGGTGATTAAGTGTGTTCAAACTGGTATTTACCCCCATAACAACTAGTTCCTAACACATTCATGTTATTGTAAACCGTACAACGGATAATAATAGCAGGATTTCATATAGATGAAAAAATACTCTGTGGCTCAGCCAAGAGACCATGTTCAAATTGTTAGCATTCTGCAGTAATTACTTAACAGCTGGGGCAGAAAATTGATTGTTGACTAGCAATAAGCAGCTGATATGTGTGGATTCTGAGCCCTTCAGAATTAAATCTCCCCGTAAGTTCTCAGGTCTCTTTTACCATAAATGACATGGCAATTATAAAAATTTGAGCTGAAAGTCAAAGCACACAAAAGAAAAAGGTGTTTTTCTCAGTGTCACCTAGCACCATATAGGAGCAACCTGGTCTCCCTCCTGTATTGTTTTCAGGGAAACAGAAGACCTCTTCATTGCTCTAAATTTTTTTTTAATGCCCTGTCTTCTAGAATGGAATCTTTGCTGTTTTAAGTTGTCAGAGGACTATAGGATTTGAGTTGCTGAAATCAATTTTGCTTTGACTTCAAGGCACGTTGAAACAAGGAAGGGAGGGGAATCTCGATTTGCCATGCAGTTTGCTCAGTGTTTGAGAACTCTGAATTGGGTTTCCTCAGCAATTAATGACTCCTTTTAAGAATGCTCTAAATGAGGAGTTGGCCAACTTTTTCTGAAAAAAACAAAACATAGTATTTCCAGTTCTGCGAGTCACAACTACTCAACTCTGCAGTCCTTGTGTGAGAGCTGGCCGTAAGTGTAAGTGACGCATAAACCAGTAATTGTGGCTGTTTGTAACTTTCTCTACAAAAACAGGTAGTGGGCCCGATTTGGCCTCTAGGACATAGTTTGCCTACTCCTCATCTAGGTTCATACATGTACTCAGTATACTCAGGATCTCAACTCTTCTTTCACTTCCTAAGCAGTCTTACTTCCACTATGACTATAACAAGATAAAACAAGTGAGTGGGACTTAGATGGTTTTAAAAGCCACTTAAGTTCGTTTTTCTTGTGTGGATTTTCACCTCTATTTTTCTAGCCTAACTCAATATGAACAGTTGAAAGCCCATCAGGGAACTGGAGCAGGAAACTCCCCAATGATCCTCAATTCAGGAGAGGGCAAGGAAGTAGATATCTTACGAATGCTCACCAAGGCCAAAGATGAATACACCAAGGTGAGTTTTTGTCTTCCCTTGTGAAACATACTTAAATCCTACAGTGGTAATATGCTTGTTGAGAAAGGCTTATTCCTTCCACCAAATAAAATTGAATGAAAAATTAAATCTCTATTTGCTTTTAGCAGGCTAAAGAAGACCATTTGTTTTAAGTGGATGAAAAGGTAGCCTAAGAAATCAGCAGCCTTCCTATATGCAAATAGTATCCAGTCAGAAAGTTTCCTAGAAGACGCCATTTACAGTAGCAACTATTAATATAACATTCTTTGGAATAAAATGAACAAGAAATGAGCAAAACCTCTATGAAGAAAACGTTTAAACACTCCTGATAGGCATAAAAATAGACTTGAACAAATGGAAAAGTATGTGTGTCCTGATTTTCCTTCCCTTCCCCAGTGTTCATCTGTTCTCTTAAATTTCACATATGAGTGGAAATCATAAGGTAGTTGTCTTTCTCTGACTTATTTCACTTAGCATGATACACTCTAGTTCCATCCACTTTGTAAGTTTTCTTAAACTTACGAATTTACAGAAAATAAAAGGGAAGAGGGGAGACAGGCAGCAGAAAACAAATGGCACCAAGGAAGCAATCAGAAAACTCCTGAATGAAGTGGGGCATGCTAAAGGACAACTGGCCAAGTTTCTCCAGGATGCCTTTGGTTTGATGGTTGACTTACCCTTGATTGGTAGACTGTGAGCTCCTTGGGCACAGAGAACACCCTGTATTCATCTTCATAAGCCTAGTTGTCTTCTATGTTCCTGGCACATATGTGCTGAATAAATGGTTGTTGATTGACTCAATGTATATGAATATGAATTAATCATAGTTTCATTGTCCTTCGATCAGAGGGCTGGGGCAGAGACACTTTAATCTCATGTGCGGTCAGTAACAGTGATTTCTGTATTTTCCATTTTGCTTAATTCTTCAGCAGCTGTTAAAAAACATTCTAATGACTTAGCAACTATCAATTAATTATATTTTACCTGATTGTACTATGTCAGATTAATCTGAAATTGTGACATTTTGGGGGCACCTGGGTGGTTCAGTCAGTTAAGGATATGCCTTCAGCTCTAGTCATGATCCCAGGGTGCTGGGATCAAGATGAAGCCTCACATTGGCTTGATCGTTGAGGAACCTGCTTCTCCCTCTTCCTCTGCTGCTCGCCCTGCTTATGCTGTCTCACACTCTCTCTGTCAAATAAATAAATAAAATCTTTTTTAAAAAATTAAAAATCTAGGGATGCCTGGGTGGCTTAGCAGTTGAGTGCCTGTCTTAGGCTCAGGGCGTGATCCTGGAGTCCCTGGATTGAGTTCCACGTCAGGCTACCTGCATGGTGCCTGCTTCTCCCTCTGCCTCTCTCTCTCTCTGTGTCTCTCATGAATAAATAAATAAAGTCTTTTTTAAAAAATAAATAAAATTTAAAAATTTTAAATTTAAAAAATAGTGACATTTTTACCCTCCAGGAACTTAGGTTCTGTGAGGCAGCATAACAATGGCCAATAAATAATAAATGCAAATACTGAACAAATTATTTTCTTTCTTCTCCCTCCCTCCTCTCAGCACACACACACACACACACACACACACACATATTTTATTATTTTTATTTTATGGTGTTTTGACATCTTAAAAGTCTTCTGGTTGGGACCAGAATCCTCCTCCCTGGGCTAGCCAAGTTTCTGTTTTTGTTTTTGTTTTTTATAAGTAGGCTCCATCCCAGCATGGAGCCAAACACAAGGCCTGAAATGACAACCCTGAGATCAAGCTGAGATCAAGAGCTGAGTCACCCAGTTGACTAACTGTCCCTGGGCTAGTTAATTCTTTGAGCTAGCAAAGGGCCCAGCCCTGAGGCTGCCTTTGACATGCAAACTAACCACCCTGCGCTGTCCCTCCTCTATCTGACCACCCCCCCCCCCCCCCCGCACCCTAGGAGGCAGTAGTCCTCTGCCCTAGTCATCTCAGGTCCTGGGACTAGAGACCACCCTATTGTTTAAAGCCTACTAAAAAAAAATAAAAAAAAAATAAAAAAATAAAGCCTACTGAAAATTATCCAACTAGCCAATCCTAAAGTGCAGCAACCCCCATAGAGGCTCTTGCCTTGGCTTTCCCCTTGTTCCTGCTTGGTGTTTCCTGCCCACCCTGAGGCCTCCACAGGTGGCCCTGCAGGGTGAGCTGTGCCTCCTGCTTCTAGGACCTCTGAGTATATTTTGGTTTCCTGAGCCTCTCTCCACAGTCTCCTCTTTTTTTTTTTTTTTTAAGATTTTATTTATTCATGAGAGACAGAGAGAGAGAGAGGCAGAGACACAGGCAGAGGGAGAAGCAGGCCCAATGCAGGGAGCCCGATGTGGGACCTGATCCCGAGACTCCAGGATCACGCCCTGGGCCAAAGGCAGGCGCTAAACCGCTGAGCCATCCAGGGATGCCCTCCACAGTCTCCTCTTGTCTCTGCACCTGACTGTCTCATAAAAGAACACGGGACACACACACACACACAGAAACCCTCCTCTGTGGTCTTGGAGACAATTTAGGCCATTACTTTCTATTGTACCTATGACTTGCAGTGTTTCCCCCTCACTTTGTCCTTCAGCAGGTACATATTCTTCAAGGCCCAGTTAAAATTCCACTTTTTACATGGAGTTTTCCTAGATCTCTTCATTCAGATTAATTATTTTTTCAACTGAAATCACCAGTCTGTTACTATTTAGAATTTATTTTGATCTTCCTCATTTATTACAGTTAAGTAACTTCTCCCACCATGAACTTGTTGAGGTCAGAATGTTCTATTCATCATTACATACCTCCCAGATTGGTTGTGGTATAATGTTGACATGAAGCAGAAATATTTAATCAGCATATAGAGTTGATTTTCTATAAACTCAAGTCCATGTTATATACATAATGTTAATTGCTCCAACCATGTGGTAAACAGAAGAAGTGATCCCTTCTGCCATTAACAGCCAGATGATGAGCACCTGCATGATCCTTTTAAGTTCTCTGCTCTAAATTCTTCTTTCCTCATTGCATAGCATATGAATCTTCAGATTCTTCAAGGATTACATAATGTTGCCCCAGTCTATTCTTCTAACCTCACTACCTTCTCCCTGCACTGCCCCCTACCAATATTTAAAACTCCTGCCAAACAGAGTAACAGCATTGCTTCCTGAAAGCACCTTCATGGCTTCCTTCCCATGCTGTCCCCAGTCTTCTACCTGTCAACGTATGGTCAGCCCTTCAGGGCTCGTTTCACATGTTCTTTGTCCATCCTGTTATTTTGATCTGCACAACCAGATAAAAATGCTTCCCTGTGACCTTCCATTGCGTAATGCAAACTTGCTTTATATTTGCTTGTGTTTGTGTCCCCTCTTCAATACACAGACATTTCAGAAAATGTGAGAATCATGAGTAAAATGGCTCTGGGATACTTCAGGAAAGGGGGAACACAGAAAGAGGCAAAAGAGAAGACAAGATTTCCCTCGGAATTCTCATGTGAGGAAGTACCTGTCCCATCACTGGGAGTATTCAGGAAGAGACTGCATGATGATATACTAGGATACAAGGGGAAAAAAGGTCTCACTTCTCTGGGTAGGGATTAAATTCAGTGACTTCTGAGATCTTCCCAACTTCAGAATGCTTCAATTTATGAAAATCCCAAAAAGTAAGAGGAGGAAAACTTTTTTTTTATATATTTTTTTTAATTTTTATTTATTTATGATAGTCACAGAGAGAGAGAGAGAGAGAGAGAGAGGCAGAAACATAGGCAGAGGGAGAAGCAGGCTCCATGCACCGGGAGCCCGACGTGGGATTCGATCCTGGGTCTCCAGGATCGCGCCCTGGGCCAAAGGCAGGCGCTAAACCGCTGCGCCACCCAGGGATCCCAGAGGAAAACTTTTGATCTAGGGGTATATGATGTTGGTAAAGTAAGCCTAGTGACATCAGATGCAACTGTTTCCATGAATTTAATAAAATAATTTGAGAACCTTATTTTGGCCAATATTTTGTGCTTTTCCCCCTAAGAAATAGCTTTCTGTGAACCTGCTATAAAGTAGCATGATGTTAATTTGAACTTCACCTCCTTTTACCTCCTTCCTATTAGACTTCTAGTTGAGACCTAAGTGAACAATAAAACCACCAACTCTCAGTAAGAAAAAGAACCAGGGCCAGAAAGGATCTTTCGCCATATAGTTCTGAGTATGCAGAAGTAGACTGTTTTGTATTTTGTGGTTTAAGGCAAGGATTAATAGCTCTCTTTTAATATATCGTGACTTATTTATGAAATTAGAGAAATTGCTAAGTGTCTTCTGATGTTCAATGAGAAAATTCAAAAAAGTAAAAGAGGGAAATAAAAAATATCCATAATCCTATAACCCAAGGATGTCTACTTTTAATGCTTTCAGTATATTTTCTTCCAGACTTTTCTCTTGGCTTGAGTACATTGTGTGTGTGTGTGTGTGTGTGTGTGTGTGTGTGTGTGTGTGTGTGTGAGAGAGAGAGAGAGAGAGAGAGAGAGACATAGAAAATGAGATCATGTGACATAGTTTTTAGGGGTTTAAAGAAGTGCCTCAGGATCTCTATGGGGAATCCATTATACACTTTCCAAGTCTTTTTTTTTTTTTTTTTCCCCAAATGCCTTAAAGTTATTTAGGTCAGGAGATGCATAGAAAAAATAAAAAAATAAAAAGGAGATGCATAGAAAATTAAACAGCTGGAATATGAGCTACAAACTGTTGAGGTAGATGATGTTTAATTCTGAGCAATTTGTAGCAATTTTTACATGAAAGCAAGGCTTCAGTGATAGTGACACAGAATACAGCTTCTAGCAAATTTTACTTAGAAAGGCTATCTAGGGCTTATGCATAGCAAGAGACAGAGCAGCCTCTTGGCCCAGATATTCAGTGTATAGTGAAGGTAGGAGAAAAATCTGTTTCTCCTTGTTTGAAATTCAAGGTCCCTGAACATAGAGAATGAACAAGTAGGGGTGCCTGGGTAGCTCAGTCGATTGGGCATCCAACTCTTGATATCGGTTCAGGTCATGATCTCAGGGTTAGGATATCAGGGTTGTGAGATGGAGCCCTGCTTTGGGCTCCACACTCAGCATGGAGTCTACTTGTCCCTCTCCCTCTGTTCCTCCCCCCACTTGCACTCTCTCTCTCATAAATGAATAAATAAAATCTTTTTTTAAAAAAAGGGGAAAATCCCTGGGTGGCGCAGCGGTTTGGCGCCTGCCTTTGGCCCAGGGCGCAATCCTGGAGACCCGGGATCGAGTCCCACGTCGGGCTCCTGGTGCATGGAGGTCTCGAGTCCCACGTCGGGCTCCCTCTGCCTGTGTCTCTGCCTCTCTCTCTCTCTTTCTCTGTGTGTGACTATCATGAATAAATAAATAAAATCTTTTAAAAAAAAAGAGGGGAAAAGTACAGAGTCATTCAGTGAAAGTAATCTGAACATCCACTTTCTTTTACATAGCAAGCAGAAGTTAAAGGCTTTCATGCTAAAATTTTGCAAGTGACTCTATCTTAGGCTGTATTCTTGTGTTGGTTATTGTCTTTGGAAAGCCAGGCCAGTTGGTCCATGCAGCCATACCATTAACCACCAGCATGCACCTAAGAATTAGAAATAGCATTCTATGACTCATAAAGGGATTTCACACCCCAATTAATGTAGTGTCAAATATCCAAATTACTGATAGAATTCTTGGAAGAAAATTATAAGTCCTTTGTACAATTAACTGTACAAACCCAAGTGAACATGGTGGTGATTGACCCCATACTCTTACATCCTTGAATTAGAAAATACAACCCAGTGACTGTAAAACTTTGGAAGCCTTAGGTTCCTGAGGGTCGAGATTATGTTTATAGCTCATTCCATTTCAGGGACAGTGTAAAATATTTTCTTACCTGAGGCCTTGACAGTTGAAACTAGCAATGCTATAGAGATTATATAGAATAGAAGATAGTGGTTTTATATTCAGTTTTATTTGGTGTTTTTACAAGGTAGATAGTGCCATCAGTGCTGTTCTTTGTGTTGTGAATCCTACTGTGTTAGCAGTTGTATGGTTGGTGAGATTAATGTGTGATAATGATTCAGTGTATGAAAAGATGAGTCTTGTCTCTTGTCTTTCTCTGTGAAGTTTTAATTTGTAGGGAGTGGCTCAGAACACTCAGATTTGAATTACTCCGTTTATGTTAAAAGTCAATTATTAAATAAAGATGATGTTAGTAATTTTTAAATCAGTGCTTTGAGTCAGTTTTACTTTTGGGTTTGTAGACCAAAAAGGATCAGTTGCTTTGATGATACAACTCTCCAATTTTAAGTCAACTGCTAATGGATGAATAAAACCATAATGTAATCCAGACATGGCATTTAAAGAATTTGTTTTTATCGCTGTTTATCAAGTATTAGACTCGGTAGTTTTAAACTATTGCTGCTTAAGCATATCTTTAGCCTTTCAAATATCCAAGTATCTCAGAGCCTCAAGGTCTTGCAGGCTGCTGCTGTTGGTAATATTTTAGGGCACTGCAATTGTGCAATACTGAGAAAAATTAAATTGGAATTTGATTTATACTCAAATATAGCTCATATCAGAGGAGATTAAGTAATTTTCCTTTTGCATGAAAATCTACCAAAAAATAGCTATCAATTAGATGAAATAAAGAGTGAGAAGTTACATTCTTTTATAAAGATTAAAGCATGAAACCATATAATGATTGTCCTTCTCTGACTGACTTACTAAAAAAAAAAAAAAAAAAAAGGACGTTTGCCATGCAATACCACTTTCAATCAAGCATCTGTGAAATGTAGATCGAGGAAGGGAATTCTCAGCCTTGAAGGATTCTGGGCCCTGCTCCCTTGGCTTTCACACTGACCTGGGTCCAAATGGCTGGGAAAACCCTCAGTAGGAGGGCCCTATTTCCGTCCCTCTGAACACTCGTTGCCTGTCTGCTTCCCTTAAAAAGAAAGAAACAGGGAGGCCTAGGTGGCTCAGTGTTGGGCGTCTGCCTTCCTGGGGTCCTGGGGCCCTGACTCCCCCATCAGGCTCCCTGCTGGGAGCCTGCTTCTCCCTTTGCCTATGTCACTGCCTGTCTCCATGTGTCTCTCATGAATAAATAAAACCTTTGAAAAATGCACAAAGGAATAATTAATTAAAATGAAAGAATGAATATATACATAAGCAAGCAAACAAACAAATAAAATCGATCAAGGGGTGCCTGGCTGCTGGCTGGCTCTGTTGGAGTGTGGGACTCTTGATCTCAAGGTTGCGAGGTCGAACCCTACCTTGAGTGTAGAGATTGTATAAACATAAAATCTTTAAAAAATTTTTTTTTCAATCAATCACTAAAAGCAACCTGTCAAACCCGGGGAATATAAAAAATAGTGGAAGGGATTATAGGGGAAAAAAGAGAAAATGAGTGGAAAAAATCAGAGAGTGTGACAAACCATGAGAGACTCCTAACTCTGGGAAATGAACAAGGGAGTGGAAGGGGAGGTAGGCAGGGGGACGGGGTGACTGGGTGACGGGCACTGAAGGGGGCACTTGATGGGATGAGCACTGGGTATTATACTATATGTTAGCAAATCTAACTCCAATAAAAAAATAAACATAAAAAAATTTTTAAATAAAATGATTAAAGCTTCTTTAACACCAACAACGAGGTTCTTTTTTCAATTTCAGTGTAAAACCTGTTCTGAGCCAAAACAGATAACCAGTTCATCTGCCATCTATGACAACCCCAATCTCATCAAACCAATTCCAGTGAAGCCCAGTGAAAACCAGCAACAGCGTGTACCTCGGCCCAACCAGGTATGAAATCCTCTGCTTTCCATCTGCAATGCTTCTATAGGACTGTTAAAGAACTTCTACCCAGAGTATAGTCATAGGGGAGCCTGGTACTGTTCAAGGATGCTTCAGGATAAATCCAAGAAAGAGAGATTTCAAATTTGAGATTGTTTTCATTTTAGTAATATATTCTTTCTAGAAGAGTGTTGAAATTTTTAATTTCGGCATTTACCATATTCTGTATTCGTCTCTTGGGGATTTGAATTCCTAGAGGATAATGTATTTTTTAAAAACAGTAAACTCATAATGTTGTCAGAACTGACAGGAATATTACCTGCCAGGCGGGCATTCCTCTGAAGTCAGTGGTTGGTTTCCCAAGGCCACTGAGAAAAGGACAGCCAAGGCAACAACATTCAGTTAAACATCTCAGAGCACTTCCTCTGCCCCAGGTACAGTGCTAGGCACTGTGTGCGTAGAATGGCATTCCTTTTCTTATGAGTGCTATGAAATTCCCTTGGAGATCTGATTTGTCACTGTATTCACATCTAAATATATAAAACTGATAGCATTTGGGGGATAAGTGTAGGTATTTTCCAGAATAGGGCAGCACAAAATCACTACTCTGCAAGTCCCATTATTGATTGTAAATGTAACGAAGCTATTTCCACTACCTCTGGTTATACCTCATTAAAGGTTTGGGGTTTTTTTAAGGAATTCATTTAAATCAATTTTGAATGAGCATAAAGCCAAAAGAGCTAAAGACTGGCTAATGAAAGTCTTGTATTGAATTTTTGAAAAAATAAATCTTTTCTAATTATCTTTTAGCTTGCTTTTATTGTTTGGTATCTATGGAAATTTTTTATTTTAATAAAGAAATTGGAATATGTTGACATTAGGATAAAGCTCATGTTTTCTTAGTCCAACAACACAGAAAACAGCAGAAGGAGCTGGAGGGGATACAGGGCAGGAACGAGGTAGCTTTATGACTGACGAGGCCAGGGCAGATTGTATGCATATGACAATTTTTTTAAAGCAACTGGTGTATAGTTGAAAGGATCAAGTTAGGTTAATGACTTATCCTAAGTTTCTCTAATTCTACCAAAAGCTACTGACCTCCTTGTGTTCCTGTGTGTTCTCAGCATCTTCTTATATTCTCAGGGTTAGGTGGACTTCCTGTTGAAGAGATTATTTCCCTTTTAGTAACTATAACTTTGTACCATAGTGGCTCCCAGTCTGTGAACCCCAGGCCCATTGAGAGCTGTTCTGTCAATCAGCAGGTGCTAAAACATAACCGCTGTCTCCGGTGTGGGAGGGTCTAAGAATGTTGTGAAAATTTTTTACCTGAAAAGGAGGTCTTAAGTTTGTAAAATTGATTAGAATTAAGAGTTTCTTCATCCTCTCTAATTGATCCAATGTAAATAGAAGAAATCATCAGTTAGGCTAGCTATGTTTCATAGCCTGCCATACAACCAAATTAATGTAGACTCATTTTTCAGACGTTTTTATTTTTTCCAGACTTTAGACTCCGAATGCCAACACTTGTCCTTGACAGCTCTCTTTGGAAAACAGGACAAATCTCCATGTCAGGAAGCTGTGGGCTCCCCACAGACCATCCACCAGCAGCAGCAGCAGCCACTTCCAATGAGGCAGGGGGTTGTACGCTCCCTCTCATATGAGGAACCCAGAAGACACTCACCCCCCAGCGAGAAGCAGCTCTGTCCAGCCATTCAGAAACTCATGGTCAGGAGTGCAGACCTCCACCCACTGTCAGAGCTGCCTGAAAACCGGCCCTGCAAAAATGGCAGTACCCATTCTGCTGGGGAGGTTTTCCTGGGACCTGTCCAGCCAGGGTCTCCCCATAGCGTTGGGACTTCTCAACATGTCCAAAGTACTTCCAGAACTCAGAGCCTGTTGGAGAAGCTTCAGAGTGCCCCCAGGCCAGCGAATAAGTATGACCCTAGCACACCAGCACCTGTCAGCTCAACTGCCCCAAGCCTCAGCACCACTGTCCCCACTGCTGCACCTGGCGCTCCAGTAAAGGGGCTGGCGGCTCAGGCACAAGTGGGGTATTTCAATGGCTCCCTTCCGCCTCAGACACTCGGACATCAGACTTATGGAAAAGAGCAGCCCACACATCCAAGACCAACGCTCCCCCTGTCCGGTAATCAGACTAGCAGTTCTGGAGTGATCTCCCCTCAAGAGTTACTGAAAAAGCTTCAGATTGTACAGCAGGAGCAGCAGCTGCACGCGTCTAACCGACCAGCCTTGGCCGCAAAGTTTCCTGTGGTAACTCAGAGCTCTAGAACAGGGAAAGCCCTGGAGTCCTGGATGGACAAGACACCCAGCACAGAAAAGCAGACTCCTCTTTTTCAGGTAAATACCTGTGGGGTTGGGGGGGATGGTATTGCTATAATATTTAGTGAGTACTTGGTGAAACTTAGAATCCACTTCAGTGCTCTAGGGACATTTTTGTGTAGAATGGGATGCCAGAAACCATATCTGTGCATCTTATTATCACCATAACTTTCTGCCTGGAAAGAGAATCCTTTCTTTGTTTAGCCATCTGGGGGCTTCCCTCCTTTTAGAGATACTTTATTTGTAGAGTTAAATCTTCACAGTGTTATAAGCTCTGAGAGAAGCTCGTGGACACAGAAAACAACACAGACATGCGAAAGAACCCCGAATCTTTGTCCATAAACGTTCACTGTCCACTTTGAAATCATTTGAGATACCAGACACCTGGTCTCTTCTTATTTTAAAATCATGACTGTTTATTTATTTATTCAGTAAATATTTTGGAGCATTTACTACATGCCAGGCATTGTGCTTCCTGTGGGTACACACCTGCGGGCCTGTCACGAGCAATGAGGCTTGCATTCCTACCACCTTGACAGGGCCCGTAGTCCTGGAGGTACTTGAAGTCAACAGAAAAAAACGTATTAGCTCCTCAGAGGTACAGGCTGTTTTTATTTCTATCACCAGTGTAACTTAATGAAGATGGAGAGAGGGTAAGTATGCCATCGAACTCCCCACGCCCGCCCCCACCACACATGTGGAGGGCCAGTCGGGGAAATACTGTGACAGTTAGAAACACTCTGTCCTTCAAGGCAGGTGACCCTCTGTATCAGTAACTTGGAACAGCAATAAAACCACAGCTACTGGGATCCCTGGGTGGCGCAGCGGTTTGGCGCCTGCCTTTGGCCCAGGGCGCGATCCTGGAGACCCGGGATCGAATCCCACGTCGGGCTCCCGGTGCATGGAGCCTGCTTCTCCCTCTGCCTGTGTCTCTGCCTCTCTCTCTCTCTCTGTGACTATCATAAATAAATAAAAAAAAATTAAAAAAAAAAAAAACACAGCTACTTCCTTGCCTGTGAGTAACATCTGAAGATCTGACTGATTTTTCCCCCATTTGGATTGGTACAAATTCATTGAAAAGGCATTGGGTTTAAAAATTAGGACATTCTCTTTGCTTATTACAGATGTCATCATTGGTCCTTTTGTCATGTTTTGGCAAGTAGCTTACAACAGTTCCTCAACAATCCTTCACTTTTTTGAAAACAAAGATGATGAGCATGTAGCATAAGTCTTTGTATATGTGAGAGCCTGAGTGAAAGTGTTCTTACTCATTATTGATTACAGTTCCAAAGAAAGGTTGTTACCCACCCTCATGCTCACTTCAGTGTGTATTGTCCCCTCTCTCTTATACCTTCTTTTTTCTCTTGGTGGGATGGGACACGAGGGAAACTAGGACACTAGATGGGACACTGCAAAAGCTGGAGTTAGTAGTTTGACATCAGCTGCTGCAGACACAGTCCCATTTCTCTTCAGCACCCACAGGTGTGGAGAGCCGATCACAACAGTGCGTGTCTGCCAGCACACACAGTGCTGGGACCCCACTGTGGTAGCATCCATTCTAGCTCTGCTCAAAATGGCAGCTAGGGGTAGTTAAAGGAAACAAGCACCCTGCCTTCCTCTAAGCTTCCTTCTGCCCACAAAGATACTGAGGGAGTGATTATAAAATCACAGCAGCTTCTAGACTCCTGGCCTCTATGACCCCCTTCTCGTGAATTCTTTTGGGGCATTCGAAGGCTGATAAGTAACATTCTTCTTTCTCTCCTGCATTAGAAACATATGAGAGCTAGCCGTGGGAGTCAGACCGGGATCAGAATGTCACTTGCATAACTGGGAAAGCTATTGGAAAACTTAATTTTAGGTCTTTAGCCACGTGAGGTAGACGTACTCGGAGTGACAGCAAGTCAGTGGCAGTGCCCAAGCACGACCCGTCCTCCTTGCCCCTGAAACTTGAGCTGGAGAAGCCAGTCATGTGTACTGTCTGCAAGCAGGCCGATCCTTTCAGGCAGGGACTGAGGAGGGGTGCACCCAATAAGCATGCCTCCCTCCCAGGCAGAGAGAGGCTGGGAATGGTCCTCCACGTGGAGAAATCAGGAGCAGAGATGTTGTGGGTGCCCCCAGCCAGTGCGACAACTCACGTTGGTGGCTGGAGCTTGAGGTCAGAGTGGTGGACAACTGGGGAAGAGGCCAGCAGTCCTACATGCACACTGCCGAGCGATGGTAGTAAACCAGAAAGAGAGTCACTCAGGGTGAGCTTCATATGCCATGGGAGCCATAGTCACAATGGCGAGACCACTTGAGCTGCTTGGAAAGATTGACAAAAGAGAATCCGTGGAAAGCCGAGCAGGAATCGGGCTCCCACAGGCTTTCCCACCCAGTGCAATGGGAACAATTCATACTGAAACCCATTTACATCCACTCTTGCAAGTGAGGGGCCTCTCTGTCCCTTTGCCTTTCTTTTCAGTGAGCCACTATTTAACTGCTGCCCTCTATTCGCCATGAGCAGGCCACCTCGCCCCCGCATGTTCCTGCTACGCTGGCTCCTTCTCTGCTTATGTCCCCCATGGTGTTCACACAACCCACCTGTGCCCCGCTGAAAGAGAGGGACGCTGGCCTCTTGCCCCTGGGAAGCCAAGAACCAGCTGCCACTTCCAGCAGCCTCCTCCTGCCTCTGCCAACCCAGGAGCCCCCCGTGATCACCAGCAGCCCACTTACCAGGCTACAACTTCAGGAAGCACTGCTATACCTCATTCAGGTAGGAGGGCCGCATTGCCTCTTCTTTCCTTTCCTCACACTGCCATCGGCTGCCACTCTGAGAGAGTCAGTGAGCTGATGCCTACTTAGTCCTCCCCAAGAATGAAGAGACCATGTAACCTAACCCCAGTGGCTGCTGTGCTGTTAACTAGATGAGATTGGGTATCTCATGACATTGAAGATTTTCTAATACAGAGGATTAACTGAGTCCTCCAAGCTGTTGCCTACCAGTAAAGAAAGAGGCGCATGCTGTGTAGTTAAGCAGCCCCTGGAAGGATCGTGGGTGCTGCACAGCGTCCAGACAGCTCACCACTGGGCAGTAGAGGTGAGAGCCATCTGGGACAAGTGGTGGCATTTAGGGGAAGCTCATGTGCACTGCTGAAGGAGGGAAGTGTAGGGAGGTAAGTCGTGTCTATACAACTAAGGGCATATTTTACAGATAACTCTGAAACCTGCTAATTAGGACAGGTTGGAATGACAAGACTTTGTCAGCCATGAGTGTCTCACTTAGCTCTGTGAGGAGATAACAATGTGGCAGCTGACACTGGTCGAGAGCTTTGTGCCACACACTGTCTTAAAATGTGTTACATACATTAATGCATTTACTCATTATACAACAACCCTATTATTTTTTCTGTTGGAGAGACAAGGAAACAGGCTACGTGACAGGCCTGAGGTGAGAGCTAGTAAGTACACAGTGGAGCTAGGATTCAGCCCCGGTCTGGCTGCACAATGCTCCTACCCACCACACTGGGCTGGACCACCACAGTAACAAGAATGGAAGGGGCAGGTCCCGTGGCACCACTTGGACATCCACCTAGCGAAGCACACCCGAAAAATAGATGCGAGGCCTTGAAAAGTGGGACACTTTTATCCAGACAGACTTTAGACACCTCAGTTAACATAGCTACATGTCTTTTTTGTATCACCTTTAAGAAAATTTTTATGGCACTTGGCTCAAGCTTTAGCAGACTTTCAGAGAACTGGCTAGCACTTTGCGGTTGTCTCATTCTAGTTGAAAAGACAGTGGTCTCTTATTATTAAAAACACGTTTTAAAGGCCATGTATTGTAGCAAGAAGGGAAGGAGCGGGGGCTAGAAACCAGCATCTGAGTGTGAAAGCAGATGAGCAGTCCACTAAAACTAAACCACAAAGGAGTGGGCCATACTAATTCATGAACAAATACCAGGGTAAAAACAATTTCCCGCCTTTTCAACCTATTCAAGATAAGTTTGTGACGGCTTAGGACATCTCTAAGCTTTTTTTATGAGCAATAAAGAAAAAAAACTTAAATTTAAAGTGAAAGTTTCACATTGTTTTTCTGGTTCATTCCATTTAAAAAAACATGATTCCAAAGATCTCTGTATAAGAGCCAAGACTCGAAGTCTAGAGCAGGCCCTGTCTGTTGCTAGGTAGAAATTTACATTTATGTTCCCTCCACTCTGCACACTTTACTGTTCCCTTGTTGAGGACACCACCTTCCTGATGAATGCTTGAAAGTCACTCATGCACTCTGTGTTTAGCCCTCACCTGTTGGTAGGACGCAGTCTCACACAGAGACTTTGTGGCCACTTTGTAGGAAAAACAGGGGTAGCATCGCTGTCTTTCATTGCATGAGAATAATGCTAGCTTTGTGCGTGGGGTGCCAAGAGGGAATGAAGGAGGAATGTGAAATGTGGGTGAATTGCTAAAGCTTTAAAGGATTTGAGTGGGAGGAGAAGTCTCTAGAATTAAAAACCAAGAGCACCACTGTTTAGACCCATGATTCTCCCTCAGCCCCCAGCCAGGCAGAGGAGCCCAGAGAGACTACCAGTCAGTCTCACTGCTGCCCACTTGCCCAGACAAAAACTTCCTATAACTACTGGAAGAATTAGGCTCGTTTTGGTGATATAAATGAAGCATATTTCAGGTAAATCTTAACTAATGCTGAAAGCAAAGCGTACATATTGTGGGAGATTTTGGAGGACCCCTGAGAAGCCCTGGCAGCCTCCTAAGCAAACTTGGAGAACCCCTAATCTGGATCATTGCCTCGCAGGGCAGCCTTCTGTTAGGACCCGTGTCTTTTCATTCCATACTGCCACGTGGCTGGGCTGCCCATGGGGACTGTATGTACTGAGCACCTCTCGTGGTGACTGTTGGAGGCCAGCGGCTGACCTGGCCAGGCCTTGACCTTCATGTGTGCAGTGAAGGACTGCCCGCCGTTAGAGCAGACAGGTAGAGATGCACATCTTAGTGTCAGCACACCAGCTCAGCTCCAACACAGAGGAAGTCTTGGTTCCTGCCAGCCAAATCACATTCCCTCAGGTCTCTTGGTTTTGTTTTCCAGAACGATGACAACTTCTTAAACATCATCTATGAAGCTTATCTCTTCAGCATGACACAAGCAGCCATGAAAAAGACCATGTGAAAGCCAAACATTTTAAGACTGATTTTCAAAGTCCTGTGGCTCAAGGTTCTTTCGCGTCCATGGTGTTACCCTAAATGTTTCTGCCCTTTAAAAAAAAAAAAGTATATATAACATGAAGTAAAATGTTTCAGAATTTTCTTTAGTAGAGATTTTTTTTGTGATCACATCAATCAGTACACTTGGTACCAAGAATCCAGTGGATAGAAAGTTTTTTGCTCATATAACACAACAAATTCCAAGCTTCAGTTATTTTTTTCCTTACATGTAGGGGGCCACTTCTGCAGGAATTAGCCTCTCAGTAGGAAGGGCTGTTCTGGAAATTTGGCTTCTTTTTTATTAATAGTTCTGGTGGTTTCCCCGTTTGCCAGCTCCCTTGCCACAGTGCACGCCGGCCACCAGGTGGCAGTGTCACCCCGCAGACTCACCTCCAAGCCCTGCCCCAGCCCTTGGAACTGAAGGTTTTCTTCTACCAGACAAAGTAAACCTTTCATTTGTAAAAATTCGGTTTGCATGTTTTCCCTGGGCCTTTGAAGGGAAATTATCTTAAAGGTATTTATAGCTAGTTTCTAGAGGATAGTTGTTCTAGGAGTCCACAAGTGGCCCAGATTTCCAGTAACACTTCACTTATCCTGCTCATGTTATTTCTTTTGGATGGATATGCCTGCCCGTGTTTCCAAATGAACATTTTGTCATTTTTACCAAAACATACTGAGGGGAAGGTCACAGAAGATTTTAAAGGCTTTTCTAGCCTCTAAAGAGAGGTGGTAGGTTGTTTAGGGGCGTGATGGATAAGGACTCTTCAAGCTACATAGCAGATTGATTTTTATGTTCACAGAGATGAGGAGCTTAATCTTGGAGGGAGTCAGAAGAGCCCTTGCCAAGTTGTGAAGGCCCCAAAGTGTCCATATGGGAATTACTCCCTGCGGAGTATTAGTAATAAATAAAGCATTGCATTTCTGTAGCTCTTTTTATTCTTAGATCATAAAAGGATCTCTCGATTACTGCATGGAAGACAGGTTTTATTCTAATTTTATAGGTCATACAGAAGGCATGGGAAAAATAGATTTCCTCACAGCTCTGACTTGGGCTTTAAGCTTTGGCCCAGCAGGCAGGCACACCGCCAGTGGTATTCCTCAGGATACCACCTCCCACACCTCCTGCAGGAGTGTACCTTTTCTTCTAAGGAGACGGGGTGGGCATAAAGGAATGGACTCTTACTAACCTCTCACGATGTGCCTTCCACTAGGAAGGAGTCTGTTGTTACCTTCTTATGTTTAGGAAGGGATGATTAATTTCTATTTTTTTTTTTTTTACATCTCTTACATCATCTAACACAGCTGTAAACCCATGTGACGCTCTAACAAAAATACTTGAAATTAATCACTGCACATGCAACCTCTCCATATTCTTATAGAGAGAGACACACATGGATCTATTATCCCAAAATCAGTGATTGTGCTCACTTCTCTAACACACATACTAAAATTAGAACAAAATATACAATACACTTAGACTGCTTGCCAACCTTTTCTTTAAAAAAAAAATTCTTTGATCATAATTATATGTTGAGAGTTGCTTCTCTAGGGAGAAACAAATTCCATTTTAAATGTTTCTAATCTACCTAGAGGTAGAAAATGGCTAATTTCTGAGTTTTTTTTTTTTTTTTTAACCTTAGCATTGAACAAATAGAATAGAGATCTCCATTGCAGCACCTCATGTGAAAAGATGCACCATGCTATGTGACAGAAGAGTGTGAGCCCAGCATGGCCAGGCCCTCACTGCAGGCTTCATTTGGGCCTTTTTAGGTCAACACCGCAGTGATCTGTTTTGAAAAGTAATAAATTCTCCATCCTTTACTGGAATAAATCGCTTTAAAAGTGACAGGCCCAATTCATTTAGACCAAAGACTAAGTCACCCTTTTAAAGGACACTTGGTGACAGAGTGCTTATTTCTTCTATGTGGCAAAGCAGAGGAGAGCTTCTTTGTACAAAGAGCTTTCTCTAGAATGTCCAAGAAATAGGCAAGAAGAGGTATCTAAGGCACTCTAAGTTAGATTTCATCTATAAATTAACTTTCCTTTTTCCCACTCTACACCCCAAATTCTGAGACCATCACGAATGCCACTCCTGGGTGTCACTGCTCCCAGACAGTAGTTTTAAGCTAACTGAGATAATTGTCCTCAAGGCAGCGTCGTCCAGTGCAGTGGATTTCAACCTTGTAGAAGTTACGGAAGTCAGTTTTGCCTGCTGTGGGGGACAGAACACATAGCCCTTGTCAGACAGACTTGCCTTCAGTTCCTGCACATGTGAGCTTCTCTGAGATGCAATGTT